TGATGCCATTGTTAGACTTTACTTACCATCATTTTTCATCCGGAAATTAACTCTTCTCTAGAGAAGCCCGTTAGGTCTCCTTCTGCCTTTGGGGCAGCAAAAGTCAAGTCGTTGCCCTTTTTTTTGAACAATAGCCTTCCAGTTCGTCATGTTCCTCAATTAATCTCCTGTTCCAAGCTCACACGGGTAATATTTCACCACTTTATTATTACCCACATTGTGAGAGGAGAGAGAGAATGAGTTGCTTGTCTTGGCATAGTGGCCAACTGTGTGGCTGTCCATATGTTTTGTTTGGTTTGGTTTACAACTAAAGGGCTGCTGTTACCCATCTTTGTATCGGAGTTTTTGCAACCTCGCATGCTGCCTCTAGTAGGCATGGCAGAGATGGACTTTTCTGCGCTGGGGTGACTGTCAGTCTCCCGAGCACTAACCAGTAATTCCTTCATGCCTCTGAATTCAAAGAGAGCCCCCACCTTTCTGCTTAGCTCTTTCCCCATCTCTAGAGGAGATCTTTCAGAATCCAGCCATCAGCCATTCTCACGACATACCCAAGCCAACGTAGACCCGTTGCAAGCCAACATAGACGGGGGCAAAAATTGGGACTTCATGTTCACCAGAGAGGTGGCAAAACTATCAGCAGCCATATAATTTTGATTTTATTTTCCTTCAAATTCTTTTTAGAACAAAATGAAGAAAAAAAGAAGATGCCTGTCTCTCCCTCGGTTTAAGTTCTCAAGACTCTCCATTTTGGTCATCATTGCTCTCTTTTTCAGTCATCTCTTTATGCTCTTCTTTTATCACTGTCTTTTTGAGTGTTTCTAAAATGAAATGACAGGCGCAGGTGTCTAAGATTCTAAATGGTGCCTCTTAAAGATTGATAGCTCACCTTGTCCAAAGAGCTCAAGGTAGAAATATTATTAAATAACGGCCAGGATCCACACGCACAGCAGAAACAACGGCATCCGCGCCTGCAGCTCATGTTCCTTATTTCAAAGCTGCTAAGCTGCAAAATCAGGTCTCTTCCTGAACAAATAGTCATTTTCCACATCGTGAAATTTGGAAACAGGTGGGCCAAGAGAACTGCAAACAGCCTGTTGATGGCACAGAATACCCGCTTGAAATCTCATCATCGGTAGCATTGGAATGTCCAGCGCAATCCTTTTATGTCCCGTTCCTTCCCATGTAAGTTTCAGGGTCTGAAGGAAAGAGAAAGTGCAGCTTTTGAGGATCAAGGTGAGCGGGAGCAGATCCTCCTAGCATTTAATCCAGCTCATGAGCTTTATGACAGCGGCACTCATTTTTACCATCTGATCTTTTCAAATCATATGGAGAACTGCTTGGTTTTCCTACTTGCCCTTCTTTCTGGAATATTTTGCATGGCAAGGCTCCTCAAAATCTTGGCACAACTTCATATGGAGGCAAGGCATTGGAGCACAGCGGTGGGGCGTATGTTTTGCATGCAGCTGCTTCAGTTCTGAGGGGCCCCTGGACATGTATTATGCTCAGGCAAGTCCCCCATCTCTTGGTGGATCCTGGTGGGCTTAGGCAGCAATGTTAGTGACTCCCCCCACAGCTATCTTTTCAGTTTCCCATAATGTCCCAGCATTAGAACTGCTGGATAGCTGAGTGGTTTGGGACTCTGTCTGCGGACTCAGAGGCTGAGAGTTCGATTCCCCACTCTGCCTCTTTGGCAGGGGCTGGACCCAGTGATCCATAGTGTCCCTTCCAGCTCTGTGGGCTGGACCCAGTGATCCATAGCGTCCCTTCCAGCTCTGCCATTCTGAGGGTATTATTATATATTAGCCTACTTTAAAAACATTGTGATTTGTGCGAAACGAGAATGGCCATCTCAGTACCCTTGTTGCTGTTTGCAAGATATATATTGGCCATAATCCAATTGCTAAGGTATGCTTGTTAATTAGCCGCAAATTGCTGCTAATTAGCAAATCGCTGGTTGTGTTCCTGGGCACATAGGAACATGACCAGCATGTTGTTATTGAGTGTGTTCCTGGGCACGTGATAGGAACATGACCAGCATGTTGTTATTGACTGGCCAAGACTCGCATGATTTCTCTTATGCAAGTGTGAAGTAGTAATTGATCATGGCCACTAAAAGGGCAGACGATGGCAGGGAGCCCTTCCAAAATGCTAGGGCGCCAGCGGTAGCCATTAGATGCCAAACCTTTTTACCAGATTCTGTCCCTGGTCTCATCGTGTTTATAAGGATCCAGGTGGGAAGTGAGATGCAACTCCTCTGCTTGAGTCACTGCCAAATGGAGAAAGCAGGAGGAGGCTGGCTGGCTGAATAAACTGATGTGGTGTGAGAAAGCTTGTTCCCAGGAGCGAACGTTTTGCTCCCCACATCACTAGAACTGTGCAGCTTATGGTAATTTCTGGTGTCTCCTCTTTTCCCAAGAGTTAGATTCTAGGATCTGTTCTTTCTCCAAGAAGTTAGATTTTCCTGGGAAAAACATGGTAGCTATCGTATAGAGCAACCCAATTTATTAGCCAGATTCCTTCAGATCAGAGCATAGAAATGTTACCCTTTGGATTACGGTTCCCAGAATCTCCAGCCAACACGATGGGAGGATTCTGGGAGATGCAGTTCCAAAAAAGAAATGTTCCACTCTTTGCTTCAGATAAAGCTGGTCCTATGTAATGTTCCCCTCTTTTGAAAAAAGGAGCATCAGTCAGGGAGTTAGCGTTGGCTGGTGTAAACCTGCTGATCTGACTCTGCAGGAGGAAGTACTCCTTTAGGGCAGATATACCTCTTACTTTGAAAAGCTGCAAATAAGAAGGCAGAAGCTTGACCTGAGCAGGGAGAGTACATGCAAATTGCTTTCAAATACGACCAAACGATCTTTTGTTAATGGGCAATAAATGGCACTTTTGACATGAACATCACTTAACCGGAGTTATTTAGAGGATCCAGTGTAGCTGCAGGTTTGCTGCCATAGCTCAATTTAACCCTCCTGTCTTTTTCTTTTCATTCCATTTTTTCTCATGCTTATGACTATAATTTGTATTAATTTGTGTTTATAATCAAGCGTTGCCTAATAATGTAATCACAACGATGAAGAGAACAAAATATATGCCAGACCATTATGATATTTCAAGTGAATTGGAAATAGACTTAATCGTTATTCTTCCTGCGCCGTGTCTCTCATCAGCAAAATTAACAACCAGTCCTCCTGTGATAAGTGTTTTTATTATAGATTAAAAGTGAGAGATCAGAAGTAAACGCATAGGTAAAATGTTTGGTCTTGCTAGCAGGTGTCTTATTTGCTTCGCTATGCGCTGGAAAATAGAATCTTGTTCTCGGAGGTGCAGTTGAGTCATTTTAAATCTGAGTCTTGATGTTAGTACAGGAACCACTTCTAGGCTCAGTGGCCTTTTATGAAGATGGTCTGTTTTGGACTACAGCCCTCAGAATCCTACAGTTAACCTGATCGGTAACCATTCTGCTTGGGGGATTCTGGAACCTGCAAAAGTCAAGTTATCCATGTACTAGTCTCTTTAAAACAATGGTTCCCAGTCCAGAATCCCCAGATGTTCTTGGACTAAAACTCCCAGAAGTCGTCACCACTAGCTGGATTTTTAGGAGTTGTGGGCCAGGAAAAACGTGGGGACCCAAGGTTGGGAAGCACTGCTTTGGAAGGTGATGATGGATAACACCTCAAAAACTGGTAAGCCAGCCCTGCTGCTTGCTGCTCCTCCAGCTCTGTCTGTTGCTTTTATCCCAAATCCTGACTCTGACAGTGGTATTGCTTGCTGTGCATAAGAATAAGAGAAGTTGACTCTTTGATATGCAACATTCATGTTGAATGTTTTGCATGTGGAGCAGAAGCAGGTAGTGGAGACTTTCCAGAGACAGACTTTCCAGCTACGTAGCTGCCTTTCCCCTGTGATGCCTCCTGCTTTCTGGAACCAACCATCTTATGCTTCTTGAGTTGTGTTCCATGTACCCAGAGTTGGCTCTAACAACCCTGTAGACCAGGAGTCGGTGGAAGGTAAATGTCAGCTAAGACTTCCAATTACTAGATATTTAACTGGGACATTTTAGGTCCAAATTATTTATGATTTATTTATGTTCCTATTAGACTGTTGGAATCTCTGTTTCATGGTAATTCAGGGTGTAGGTGTGTAACCTTGTATGACAGTCATGTTGACCTTTATCTATGTGAGGGTTCAGTAGGCAGTCAATCGGCTCTACTTTTCAGTAGGCAATTAGCTCTAATTTTTGCAAAAGACCTCTAAATTAGTGGCTCATGTGGTTGGGCTAACAGCTGCCAGAATTCGTGGTGAGGTCTGCCAAGAGTGGTTGTCTAAGAAGCAGGGTTGTTGTTAGGATGATGGACCTTTGGATCTATAAAAAGCAAACATTGATTTGCCGAGCCCGCTGTCCTTGTTACATATGCATTTCAAGATTTAAGCTCTCAGAGATGTGGTTGTACAGGCTGTTGTACATATCCACAGTGTGGATATGGAACGCCTTTGCTGTGTGGTTGAAATTCTGCTTCTCCTAACCGAGGCTCATTGTGTCGAATTCAGCGCTGCAGCTCATGTATAATGCCCTGGGGGGTGTTAATTTGCTGGAGATTGACTTCTTCTCGTGATTGATTAGAAGTCTCAACAATGGCAGTTCAGAGGCTGCTGTTTAATTGCTGCAGCCGTGGACTGCAAAAGGGATTCAGTCCGTCCAAGAGACCTGCAAATACCTGCTGATTTGCATGGATGCTGCTCTGTGGTTGTGAGAAAAGGAAAAATATGACAAATCATATAATACCTTTTAAGACTAACATTTCATTTGTCTTGAGCCTTTCACAAATGGCAACCCAGTTCTTCAGGTGCAAGGGATACAGGATTCATGTTGTTGGTTTGTGGACCATGCATCTCAACCTCATGCATTTGAAAATTGCTAGACATTTGTGATGCTGTGCAATCCATCTCTCTCTTTTTTTCAATGCGAATGCAATAATTGTTTATTTTTTTTTGTTTAGGAGCAAAGCCCCAGTAACCAGACATCCATAGCGATGATGCAGGAACCCCAAGAAATGGTCGAAGAAACCGTTACTGTAGAAGAAGATCCGGGCACCCCAACCTCGCACGTTTCTATAGTAACTTCAGAAGATGGGACCACGAGGAGGACCGAGACTAAGGTAGGAGCTTTGATATTTTCTCCGCAAAACCTGGGGGTGGAGGGTGGGGAGAAGAGAGAGAATGATGTTCCAAATACTAAATAAATCACCTGGATGCTTTCTCTCTCTCTCTCTGAATGAAGTACCAGCCTCTCTGGAATTTGATGTACCCAACTGCTAAGCAGTGGTAACAGATGAATGAATAAATCAACAAAAGGAGACCATCTGATAAATGCTGGATGGATTTTGAGCGGAAGCGCCTGGGAAGAAGCTCACTTTAGAATCTATTGCAATGCTCAGGGCTTTTTAAGTTTAATAAAAAGGTGAGGTAGAGAGGACACCGTTGAGGTCTGTTAAATAAATACATGGTATTGAGAAAGTAAAGGGACGTGGTGGCGCTGCGGGCTAAACCGCAGAAGCCTGTGCTGCAGGGTCAGAAGACCAAGCAGTCGTAAGATCGAATCCACGCAACGGAGTGAGCTCCCATCACTTGTCCCAGCTCCCGCCAACCTAGCGGTTCGAAAGCATGCAAATGCAAGTAGATCAATAGGGACCACTTCGGTGGGAAGGTAAACAGCGTTCCGTGTCTAAGTCGCACTGGCCATGTGACCACGGAAGATTGTCTTTGGACAAAACGCTGGCTCTATGGCTTGGAAACGGGGATGAGCACCGCCCCCTAGAGTTGAACACAACTGGACAAAAATTGTTAAGGCATTGAGAAAGTGGGTGAAGAAGCTTTCATGAAACTAGAACTCAGTGTCATCTAAAAGAACTTGGATAGAGGGGGAGAAACTACTGGTTCACACAGTGTATATCTGTATATTTGAAGGAAAACAGGGTTCAATTTGCTACCTCTCCCTGCCTGCCCGTTTGCTTTAAACCTTCCCATGTTTTGAGGATGGTTGGAGGGTGAGATGCAACCACACTTTAGGTAGACGTGGCCACAGAGAATTGTGGGATCGGGACTCTGAAAGGGCAGGGTTCCAAACTGCTTAACTGTGTTTCAATCATCATGGGTCTGTTTTTCATTCCGATCTTCCCACTAACCACAAGAAGATCACAGGTGCAGATGGCGGAATCGCTGCTCATTTACAATCAGTAGAAACATGAACAGGATGGTGTAAAATCAACAAATAGAATCCCCTGCCACAAGATGTGGTAGCAGACAGCAGTTGTGGCTGGTCCACGAGGGCAAAGGGGCCCTGCTGCACCCGGCCCAAGGCTTAAACTACCCCAGCCCTGCTTATTTCTCTCCTGGAGTAAGAGATTAGAACTCTGCTAATGGTCCTCTCCTGCTGGACTCCCAGCTTTATCACATTCCATGTCAACATGTGTGTGTGTGTGTGTGTGTGTGTTTGAGAGAGAGAGAGAGAGAGAGAGAGAGAGGTTAGCATGGGGAGAGAGGAATGAAAGAATCACTATGAGTGAACAAGTCAGCTATCCATGTTTGGAACCAACAGGAATATTTCTAATTTGGGAGGAAAGGGAGAAATTGCTGCTCTCCAGCTGAGCGACAGAGCAAAGAAAGAGGTGGGAGTAATGTGTGATAAGTGCATGGCTACCTCTGTGTGTATGTGTAGGTGAATCCTTCCTTATGTGTTTGTGTGTTTATATACTGTATATGACAGAGAGAGAAAGAGAGTTTGTATGCTCACAGGTCTGTCGGGCTATTTACAGCTCAGTTTCCTTCTGTAGGAATACTTACGATTGGATTCTTTTTTATGTGGAAAATAATGATGCACAAGTTAATTTTTAATGCCTCCCTCTTCTTTGATGTTACATTATTATTGTAAATAAATTATTGCTCATCTTGGGGAATTTTTCTGTCACATTTTCTATTGATCTTCTGTCTTGTTCTAGTTAATGGATGTTTTGCGGGTTTGTTTTGGTTGCTTGCTAAAATGAAAATGGCCAGAATCCTATTAACACCCGTCTCTGTCACTCTGTTGATGTAACTGCCAGTGGGAATTGCTACGAGAAGTTACATGATTGGTATGGTAGCAAATGCCTCCACTGACTTGCAACAATTCACTACTGAAATCCAAACTGGTGGAATTATATTGATGTAAATATGCTGGCTGGAGAGCTCAGTGGTTTAGGTATCTGGCTGCAGAACGAAAGGTTGGGAGTTCGATTCCCTGCTGTGCCTCCTGTGAGTAGAGCCAGCCTGTGTAGCCTTGGGCAAGCTGCACAGTCCCAGGATTTATCCTGGAAGAAGGGAAAGGTAAACTACTTCTGAGCATTCTCTGCTTGGAAAACTCTGAAAAGAGTTACCGTAAGTCAGAAATGATTGGCTGGCATATGATTACTATTATATATGCAGTGGAATTCTAGCTAATAAATAAGCTTTAAGGAAACCAGTGGGGGGAAAAAGGAAGGGGTAAGCCAGTGGTTTCCAAACTTTTCTGAGTTGTGATCCCTTCTATAATATCCAAGTAACCTGCAACACCCACCACTGCCATCTTTGCATAAAAAGGGATTTTTAATTGGGCAGTCATCCCTTATCAGGAAGTAGAGGCTTCATTCTCCTCCCCAAAGGGCATGTTTGGCATACATACACATACATGCTAACTTTGAAATATCCTGCTCTGAAAGATCAAGGAAGACATTATTTATAATAATAATCTTAGAACTGCAGAGCTGGAAGGGATCCTGTAGATCATCAAGTCCAGCCCCTTGTCAAGGAAGCACAGTGGGGAATCAAACTCTCAATCTCTGGCTCTGCAGGCAGAGATCTAAACCACTGGGTTAACGAGCCATTGAATAGCGGCCAACGGCTAAAACACATATAAGGCAACTTGTGACTCACAAGAAAACACTTCATGATCCCCTTGGGGGCCATGACCCCCAGGTTGGGAAACACTGATCTAAGCCGACATGAACATTTGATTCAACTATGGTGGTGGGGAATGAGCTACAGAGGCCATCCTACATTCAATGTCGTTCAGAGATCATTGCAGTTGTGTTCTACCGGGTTCACTCCAGCTCACTCGGTGGAAGTGGGACACGGAGCAAAATGTGCCATGTGGCTGATAGATTAGGATAAAAGAAAGGCAAAGGGACCCTAATTGACTTCCATAAATGATAACGTTTATCGGCTCCTCGTTCCTTTGATTCTACAACAATTCTTGCAATAAACCTTAGAACAGATATAGTGCTTTAGAATCCAATTATTTTTTTTCCAAATTAGTTTTAAATTTAAAAGTATAGCATAGCTCTGATTCCATTTGATCACTCGCCTGCTGAAATTATGCTTGTAGACTATTGGATAAGAGACAAAGTAACTGGACAATTACATGGTCGCGCTTGGTCACATAATCTTTACAATTTATTTAAGTTGTTTTATTTAAAACGAAGCAGAGTTTATTGCAGTCAGGCGTAATTGTTTTAACAGGAATTAAAATGGCTGTAATTCTTAAGAGTCCAATTATGTCTTCAAGATTAACTAAGACTCTTATTTTTCTTTTGAAAGAACACATACTTTGCAGGCAGTAGTTGTACAACCTCTTCGTCAGATGTTGGGGCAGAACAGCGAAAATTATATAATAGTTAAAGCTGATTGTAGGCAGCTAACATAACACAAAAATGAATTAATCTCTCTCTCTCTCTCTCACACACACAGGTTAAAGCTGATCGTAGGCAGCTAACATAACACAGAAATGAATTAATCTCTCTCTCTCTCTCATGAGCTGTAGAGTAGCTCATGGGTGATAACGATGATGCTATAGAGTAGCTCATGGGTGATAACGATGATGATGATGGAAAAGAAAAAATCCAGGTTGATCTAGTGCAGTGGTCCCCAACCTTAGGCCTCCAGATGTTCTTGGGCTACAACTCCCAGAAGCCATCACCACCACCTCTGCTGGCCAGGATTTCTGGGAGATGAAGTCCAAGAACATCTGGAGGCCCAAGGTTGGGGACCATGATCTAGTGAGCACCAAAGTGCCAGGGTATGACAGATAGCCTTTTAAAAAAACTTGATAGTAGGAAAGGATATTGTGGATATTTTTGTAACTTTTTTAGGGAACTGGGAGAGAAAAATTGGTCGTCAGAGGAGATGGTTGAAGAAGAAATATGTATGACATTACAGAGAGTCACAATACTAGAGTTGTATCCATTGCCCTGCTTCAGTTGTGGGTTTAACGTGCCTGGAGCATCCACGGGAATGTCTTGACTGTTTATATGGGCCACACAGCAGGAACATGCTCTCTGTTGTACGTGTGTGTTTAGATGAAAAAGTAACAATCATCTGTTGGAGTTGAGGGAGTCTCTGCTGAAGAGCCAGCCGCATAAGACCTCCCATTGCAGGCTGGATAAAGGATGGTAGGATAGCAACCTTTAAAAAAAATATTATTATGGTGACTATGCATTGGTTTTCTGTCTGGCAGAGTGTAAAATCATGTGAAAGGTATTAAGAAGAAATGTGTGCATTTCGTATATATATGGGGCTTTGTTTGTATAGGATGTTGGTGTCTTTGTACAGAAGTGTTTCATTCTGTCATTCTCCACCTGCCATCTGCAGTGATACAGTCTCGGCCACCTTACCTGCTGGTTTGCTGAGAAGCAAGTTTAAGAATTCGAATCTCTCTCAGTCTTCCCTCCATCCGCTCTTGTGCTCTCTCTCTCTCTCTCTCTCTCTCTCTTATCTGGAAGTTGAGTCAAGGCAACTGGGCCTCTTTTTTTAATTAGGCTGAAACATTTTGCTACTCATCCAAGTCACTTCTTCAGTCTGAGGAATGTTGTTAGGAGACCCCCCGGTATATCCTCCACGTTGGCGGATATTCAGACCAGGGGGAAGGGAAACCAACATGGAGGATATATCAGGGATCTCCTACCAACTCTCTTCAGACCGAAGAAGCAACTTGGATGATTAGCAAAACCGTTTCAGCCTAATAAGAAAGAAGTTCGGTTGCCATGGCTCAGCTTCCAGAGAACTTCGCCTGGATGACTGAGAATCTCCATAGGGTATCTTGTAGCTCTCTATCTCTTGTTTAAGCGTGTCTTGTTTTTCTGATACGATT